GAGAGAGAGAGAGAGAGAGAGAGAGAGAGAGAGAATAACACACAGATACATACAAACATTAACACAAACATAACGATATGCACGGACACGCGTCTGGCAAAGATATTTAATACATCCTTATTATTCGATACACCCCCTACAAGTGTATAATTTTGTCAAAGAGATAAATTCATTTAATCTTGTTCTTCGTTTAAGTTATCGACAATCCATTACGTCACTGCACGCACAAAAAGGTCAAGGTAGAAGATTAGCAGTCAGTCATAAAGCGGCCCCAATCAGCGAGTTTTGATAGACAGTCACTGACAGTCCTGTATTGCGGGCTGATATACAGATGATGTCGATAACTAGTTGTGTTGCGACATGGTGGAATCAGACGCTCGTCTGTTTTTCAGCATATTATAGAGATAATTGGTATATTTTTAAAGCTAGATGATTTGTCTTGCGTCCTGTTGAAAAAAAACAACAACGTCATTTTACTATTAAATGAGGTGGGGGTCACTTGCTGTCATTGTAATAATTAGTGAGAAAATGGCCTCCAAAGTTTGGTGACTTTTAAAGCCTGAGTGTCCTTGGAAACTGCAAGTTTACTTTTTTCCGCCTTTCATCAACGTTTTTCAATAAAATGTACACAGAAAATGTATTTCTAGATGGTTATTAAATGTGTTTGCGCTAAAACGATAATGAAAAAAAAAGGCCACCAGGTGGAAAGACTGTCGGTTACTTCGATGCCATTATTATTCTTTCGAGCGTATCACTTCACCATGTTGTGACACAATTCTGGCTAGTGTGTATAGGGGCGGTGACGGAACTATAAATACTTGATCCACTTGTCTGAAGCAAAAACTTCGAGCACGCCCTAAATTTATCACAATTTGATTAATTCAACTACGTACGCTCCGCACCTTCCCCCATACACACGCATGCTCGCGAACACACACATACGCACACACATACGCATAAATCACCGACCTGTGCTGTAGCGGTCAGGTGCTCTGCTGTCGCACGTAGATGGTGTGAGTTTGATTACCGTGGGGGGAGAAGTTTCATCATGCATCCCCGTCTGTCTCCTGGGACTTTGAATCCCTCTCAGCCCAGGTTGGCCCTGACAGGCAGGGTCAAAGCAGCCTTCCTCCTAAATATCCTCATCGGTGGCGATGGGGGCGTACAACTTCTACAATTCCGTCATGGCGCGGTTGAATAAGGCGCTCGTCAACTTGAAGGAATATGGATATTGTAGTATCGTTATATCCGTTAATTTGCCTTGCTTTTGGTGAAAAAAATATAAATCTGTCTTGAGTAGAATTCTATATATTTGCGTTTGAATGGGGACATGCAATGATGCAGCCTTATGGTATGTGGAAACTGCTACAACTGACATATTATTCCGTTTCAGCCTATGTTATTCCGTTTCAGCCAATGACCAAGTTCCCATTTGCATCTGGGTGAGATAAAGAAGTGGGGTAAAATTGTATGTTTCCTAAGGATACGGTTTAATTTTGATTAGACAACACTTTTACACACACTCCACTTTGGTAGAAATGTCTATAAAATGCTGTTCCATTTTTGTTGAGAGGATGCCTATTTTAGACGCAATGCCATTTTTGGTGGTATACCTATTTCAGCTGATGCAATTCCATTTTGGTGAGAAACTTCCCTTACATTTCGTGGACTATTTATTGTCTTTCCGTGTGTCGTCTACTTTCTAGCTCCCTGTTCTCTGTGCTGCCCTCGGTATATCAGAATGCAAACCACCCTCGGTTGCAAACAATCACCTCTCCATCTTTCCTCTCTTCCACCCAAATAGAACCCAATTCTTTCTCTAGTGTTCCTTTAAAAACAATTAGAAAAAAAATCCAACAAGAGTATGGTGAGACCCAATACAAAAATCAGGATTTTTTTATTTCTTACTTTTTTTTTGGGGGGGGGGGGAGGTGGGTGGGTGTATTTTTTCTTGTTGTTTTTGTTTTGTTTTGTTTTGTTTTTTGCTTTTTACGAATCCTCAGATACTTATATCTTGTGATATATTCTCCTCAGAGATGTTGCTCTTGGGTTGTTTCTGTAACGAACCTGTTTCTCAAACCACAAAAACTGCGCGGGGCGCATGGTGCACTTAACATTTCCATCCATTAAGACAAACGTTTCCTGTTCCTGGAAAAGTCCCTTCTAGCCTGCCGATCATGAAGCTGAGCGACCCCTTTCGTCTAGCCATCGCGCTATCGTCTGTTCTCTGCGCATGTGTCATCCCGTGCTGGGGTCAACAAGGGACTTCCTCCCCAAATGTCACAAAAGGACAGCTTTGTCAGTTCACCGTGTCTGATCAGGTGGGAAGGATCGTGGTAACGTCTTCGTTTTTTACTTCCTATACTTCCTGCCAATGGCAGATACAAGGAGAAGGTGCTGATTCCGTCACTGTATTTTTACATAAATTTTGCCTTCAAACGGCTGCTCAAAACGTCGACAACGATCCGCAACAGCAGAACCAGCCAGGGGATTTTGAAGTATCTATGTATCGCACGGAGAACAGAGACCCGTCTGATCTCCTCTACACTTGGAGGAGCAGTGAGGAAGAAGTCACTCTGTCGTTCTCCCTTGAGTCTCTCTTTTTGACTGTCCAGCCTTCGGACGAGACAGGAGAATACCAGGATGTGGAGAACAGCGCTTTTCGCATAGACTATATCACCTGGAGTACCGTAAACAGTTCAGTCGGGTGTGAGCCCAACACCTTCAACGTTCCAGAACATGGAACTCTTCAGGTAATTAACACCACCCTAGGATCCGAAGCAGAAGTAATGTGCTCTGAGGGTTATCTCCCTCAGGGCGTGACGTCGTCACTGGTGTGTGTGGTCTCCGAAGACAGCACACTGTCATGGCAACCACGCACACGCGAGCAAAACTTCACGTGCGAATCTGTCTGCCTCCACCCTCCCGCCGTCCCACACACCCGAGTCCGTCTCGTGCTTGACGAGTACACAGAGTTCACGAGGACTCCTGAGCGGTTGATTCCGCGGCACACCGTAAGGTCAACTGGTTACGTCAGTTGTGAGGAGCCTTATCTCCTGACGGGCGCCACTGTATGGAATTGTTCCCGGGACGTGCAGGGAGTTCCAACATGGCATAATGCAAACGCGACTGCCTGCATCATCCCGGACTGTTCTTCTACAACGACTTTGACCGAGGAATCGGGCGCCATTGTAAACCCTTCTTTCCCGAGTGACGTTTTCGGGGGGGATGGAGTCACGTGTGCTTGGGAGGTTGTCGCTCCGAGCCAAGCCCAGATCAGCTTTTACTTCCAGTACTTGGATCTCCCAGATGACCCAAGCATTGACTTCCGGATAACGGATACTGGGGGACCCCGACCTGTGAGCTTGTTGCATTTCCAGGGTCAAGGCTTGTCAGTAAATGCGAGTAGCGTGACCAACAGAGTGCTGGTGACGTACACGAGGTCGGCGTCCGACTTGTCTGGTCACCGTGGCTTCTATCTGAAATACGTCACAAGATCCGATGTCAGTCTGAGACAGGTAAAGTTTTTCTTAGTTTTTCTGGTATTTAAACTTTGCTTCTCGGACTTCTCTGCTATAAAACATTCTGCCTGCCCGAGTTGTACTGGTCCCAAGCCAGACTTTTAGGTCCTATTACAATCTTCTGTTATGTCTCCCTTTTCCTCACTTGCCGTAAACGTTTAGTGGTACTTACTTACGTTTAGTGGTACAACTTGTATGGAATGAATGATTTTGTTCTGCTGCAATCAATGTTGACTAGGAGATAAAAGAAAGTTTTCCTATAAAGTTTAAAAGTGTAACGTCATTTGGATATCTACATAATGATATCCATGGGACATTGAAGCCGCCGATGTAGTCAGGAAGTTTAGCAGCTACGAACGACAAATGCAATCAACGTATCTTCCAAGATCTGTGATTTTTACTAAATCCATTCATACATAGAAATAGACGAATTAATAGTACCGGTGTTTGTGGTGTAGCTATGTTACGCTTCGCTGTCGCACGTGGAAGACCCGAGTTTGATCCTCGTATAGGGATAACTCTTATCGGGTATCTCTTTCTTTCTGCTGGGACGTTGAATCCCTCTCTAAGCCCAGGTACGCCCTGACAGGCAGGGTCGAATTCCGCTTCCTAAATGACCTAAATTGGGCTGGAGGGGTAAAAAACCCACATATAAAAAGATTTCAACCGCCGATTTCTTTGATTTCATTGTTTTGATGAGGGCCTGATTTCACCACAGTGCCTCACAATTAGTCAAACAGATGCTAGGCTCATAGAAGCGACTGTATCTTGAATGTATCTTTACTACTATGGCAAGGGTAGTGGATTTGAATTTTAGTCGTATAATTTTATTTTATTTGTCGTTTATAAGGTACACTGTCAGCTAGACACCTGTCTTTCTATAGTTTTACCAAGGACGTAAATGACATTTTTCAGAATTTTATTCCCTTTAAATTTACCCAGAATTAGGCAGGGCAAAAATATTACCAGAAGGCAGATCCTGCATTAGTTAAGACACTCTTATCCAGAGCCATTCAGATACAAAATTACGGTATCATATATTTAGCTATTGCTTGATAATGTTCCGACCTCAATTAAAACTTAAAAAATAATCCATTATTTTCATCTTTGTGTTAAACTATGAGTTGATGAAATGTACCTGGTCGTCTTATTTTGCCTATGTTTTCTTCCTAAAAGTAGTGGAAACATACTTTTAAAAATATAATAAAATAGGGCCGTATTAATTACGGTGTACTTTTTTTTTCATAAAGTCCGGCTTCTCGACGTTAACACAGTTTTACTTTTTTAGTTCTCTTTTGCTTTGGTTTGGTTTATATAAAGTGCAAAATGGATAGACGACTCATTACCTTATGGTACTTGAAACTTAAGTTCAACCTAAGCTTTCATATTTTTTAAAATTTCAAAGTTAATCTTTGTTGATACGAATTAATGTCACTGATATCCTTATTTCTTTTTGTTAGTCTTAATGAAACCCAAACATGAAACCACTTACCTTAGAGAAAGACATGGTGATATTCAATTGTGTTGTGGCAAGCTTGCCATAGTGTACACGGTCTATGAGTGATGACTTTCACGGTTAGATCTCTTCCTTTCATTTTGCATTTTACTCATCGACGTTTTGGATTTTTTTTCCAGGTACTGTTTTACGCACAAAATGTTATCTATTAATTCATTAATTGGTTGATTAATTCATTTACACGTATTTGGGTACTAGTTGTTTACTTTAAAAAGGTTGTTCCTGAAGCCATAATTTCTTTTATTTTCCATGCATCTTTAGTTATTAAATGATCTACGAATCATCATAGACAATTGATACTATATTCTTTCATTCACTTTGCACATGTAGAACACTGATGATCAAGGGGACGAGGATGTGAGCTATGTAGTCAGTGCTGGTTCAAATCAAGAAGTAAGTCACTCCTACTGATGCGTGTAAAGTGGACTGCACGCTTGTCCGATTGTGCACAGTTTGTTGAATGGCGACACCGTCCAGCACATCATTGACACTCGTCTTCTTTATAGTGGGTTGTAGACTTCGTTTTATTTTTCAGAACGGATTCCAATTTTTGGTGAATTGCGAGGGGGGGGGGGGGGGGGTTCTTTTTTTCCTTTTTTTATTTCTTAGTTCGCGAACAGTGGAATTTGGTGTACTTTAAGGAAAATAACTAGATTTCGCCAATGAAAATGTTGGGCAAATTATTTTTTGCTCTCTTCTTTTTTTTCAGTCGCACAAACACAAAACACGACAAGATTCTTATTGTTATCAAGGCAATTCCCAAATCACGTGGTATATCACAGCCTAGTAAATTTTCTGTTTTTTATTTGGGGTCAATCTCTAACTATAGCATTTCGCCCAAAAGTCATTTCATCATTATAAAACGATACGGCATGCTATTTCTAAATCAATATTAGGGGACAAAAAATGTTGATACTTTCTAATGGAAAAAGTGTTGAAACACAGGTGGAATCAAGGAATGGAATTTTATAAACGGCTTATCTTATAATTGCAAGCTCCAAACTCCCACGACAGACTCAGTAACATTTTATATTTAAATCAGGTTTAGCTCAGGTTCCATATTAACCTGCACGCCGATGAAAGTTATCATTTTATTTTTAAAGCAAATTCACTTTTCTTTTCACAAAATACAAAATTGTTATCTGATGGGGTAGGGGGTGTTTTCTCGTCAGTATTTGCAAATGGGTGGAGTTTTTTTTTTTTTCAAAATAAAGGACATTGGTTATTTTCTTTTTCACAGGAGCCCCCACCTGCACTCCTGGGCACCTTTGCACGTTCATTAAACACAGGCACTTCTGCACCCAGCACTGAAAGCAACACTTTAGCAAATGAACCTCAAACCCCAGCACCAAATGTCGAGAACGATACACCACAAAACACACCCCAAACCTCTATAACTGATAAAGCTACCACAGAAGCAGAGAGTTCCTCCACCCCAACACCATCAACCAGTGACATCACTTCTCTGCCCCCGACCACTCCCACCCCTGCACAACCAACCAGTGACATCACTTCTCAGCCCCCGACCACTCCCACCCCAGCAACATCAACCAGTGACATCACTTCTCAGCCCCCGACCACTCCCACCCCAGCAACATCAACCAGTGACATCACTTCTCAGCCCCCGACCACTCCCACCCCAGCAACATCAACCAGTGACATCGCTTCTCAGCCCCCGACCACTCCCACCCCAGCCCCATCAACTAGCGGCATCCCTCCTCAGCCCATGACCACTCCCACCAATGTACCGATGGTCAAAACGGACACTACAGTCACGCCTACAGGCCATCCAACAACATCAGAAAATACGGTAATTGCTAATTACCAAGGATTAAATCAACTCATGTATCTGGCCTCTTCAAATGTTTTCCCCTCCTAAATTTATGTAACACTTTAAAAATATGTCTTCAAATTTTAGGTCAAGCCAATTTCTACACATCATTTACTAAATCATTGGGCAAATGTATCTTCCTTTCTCATCTAAAGCGAACTTGAGACCACATTTTCTTTAGTATTATCTTGTGCATGAAAGATTTGTCTGCCAGATCACCCAGCAGGGACTGCAGAAGTAAGAAAAGGATATAGCCCACGGGAATTTTGTGCATTACTCTGAATGCCCCCCCCCCCCCAACCAAACCCTAAAGAGATTGATGGAAAGGGTGGGGTGGGGTTACAGTTTGCGGTACCTGGGTACAACAGTTATAATTATTTTACAAAGATACGAAGTAATGGCAGATTTTTGGAAACCTAGTTAGGGCGTTGAAAGAGAAAAGCTAACAAACGAACGGGAAGAACAATAGGTATTTTCCCCTTTCTGAAACGTAACAAATCGGGTAAGCTTCGGGGCAATGTGACTGACGTAAGTGGTGCAGCAAGGTTCTTCGCTGTCGCACGCAGAAGACGTGAGTTCGATTCCCGTGTGAGAAGAAATTTTAATGAGTATCTCCTTTTTTCCTGCTGGGTTATTCCTGTCCTTCAATTATATAAATTGTGTCCATGAGGGCGTAAAAACAACTTACTTTAAAGCCAAGAAATCTGCGTACTTGCTGCTTTTTGTTTTTATTGTGTTTTACCCTTTGGTAGTTCTTTCGCTTCTCTTTTTGTGCTGTGCTAGTATTTCATATTTGTTAGATTATGTTGCTGTAGTTGTTATGATGATTGGCTTTGTCTCTCTCCCCCCCTCTCGACATTGTTGCTTTTCTTTCGTGCTGCTTTTCGGAACAGGGAAAGAGAGGGGGGAGTGGCGGTATAAAGTTATGCCTTGATACCTGAAGGTGCCATCTCTGTCTCAGCGGTGACGTGCAATGACACTCCAATACTTACTGTCGCTAGATGGCTTAATAAAAACTCTGTCATATTTAGGCCAGGTCTATGCCTTGATGTTATCGATCCACGTTGTTCTTTGTTCACCCTTGTCCCTTTTGCCTCACTCCATGCCTTCGAGTATTTAATTCATAATGGTCTATAAATGTGTACCTTTTTCAGACGATAGGATTTCGAAGGCAGAATAATTATTCACGCGTATTGTGACCTCAAGCTAAAAGCAGATATTCTTGGAAAACGTTCTCGGATTATAACTATCCAGATTCAAATTTCGGACCACAGCCTCTCAAACATAGTTGTGACTGTCTATAATATATCTTAACTTAGTGATTGTGTAAGTACAAAAAACGAATGTCTAAATCAGAGACTATCTATTTTTGTACCATCGACATTTAGCTGCACATGCCCTGGGTAGACACCAAGGTCACGTGAACTCAACCAAAAAAACAAAAAACAAGAATAGTAAAGGCGTGGCTGTAATTAGAGAAATACGCTTGTTGGAATTTTAAATTTTCATTTTATTATTTTTTTGTTTTTGTTTTGTTTGGAAGGCTCAAAATCACATTTCAGATTATTGCTTGGGCTGTTGTCCTGCTAAATGTTTGCTCGGTTATCCTTAATTAAAAGTCACATCTCACAATATATTAGAAGTATCAGTTTGTTGATACCTGCACCGTTTGTAACTGTAGAATTCTCCTATTAGAGGTATTTTTCAACATATTTATTAGTTGGTTGTATAATTCCTCACTTAATGCTTCGTTTCGAGTTTGAACAAAAGTCTTCGGTTGTGTAAGTCTTTTATTTGGACTAAACAGAGTAATTATCCACAAGGCTGGCATTCTTGACTCAGTTGAGAGACAAAACAGTTTCTGCTTTTTATCTCAGTGCGAACTCATCTGTATCGTGCGGGTCTGCTTCATGAGATCCTCCATTTGTCAGTGCGAAACACTAGCATCAATTTGCTGCAATTACCGTCTGATTAAGTTTTCCAGAAGACAAAGAACACATGGTCAAACACTTTTTCTTTATGTTCACACATTGTAATTACCTAGAATGGTTTTATGACCTATCGCACGGCCACTTCTGAAAACGATGTTGTTGTTTCCCCACCCCCCGTTCACAGGGAGTTGTCTCTGGAGAAGTCACTCAAGCAACTGAGAGTTCAGGGGGCGTAAGTAATGGTTAGGTTCTTAATAGTCATTGTGAGATCAGGTGAAGAACTCTTGATTATCTCTCTTCTCACGCTGTCGTCTGCATGGTCTTGTTGCTGGCTGATTGGTGGGTTGTTGTGTATGCAAACTTATCTGAAGATAATAATTTTTTTTATCATTCTTAGCCTGACATGTATTGTCATCAAAGATTTGCTTTTTTAGAGTCATTTTGCGTTTTAAAAAAAGAGATTAAATTAACAACTTTCTGTCATTCCTTCTATTCCGTCCTTTTATCTGTGCGTCTGTATTTCTGAGAGGCACTCCAGTCCTTGTCTTTTGTCAGTCTCAATGTTCGGGCTACACATTAATGTGTAGGATGGTTTCTATCTGCCGCTTCGTGCTTTCTTCTTCTCTCTCCCTTTACCTTCCCGGTCTCTCTCTCTCT